GCCACCACGCCTGGCTAATTTTTGTATTTTTTAGTAGGGACAGGTTTTCACCATGTTGGCTGGACTGGTCTCAAACTCCTGACTTCAGGTAATCCACCCACCTCGGCCTCCCAAAGTGCTAGGATTACAGACATGAGCCACAGTGTCCCGGACAAGGGATTTCTAACCCATCAGTCTCATTTCGAGGCTAATATGCTTTTAATCTGTGACCCTTTAGTTTCCCTAAGGTACTGGACCTTAAGAATCATTTCTGATGCTTGTTAAAAATACAGAGCTCCACCTCTGGAGATTCTTGTGCTGTTATCTGGAGGAGGGCCCAGAAATCTATTTTTAATAAATGCACTGGGTGATTCTTACTGTAAGGCGAGTTTGGGAAGCACCGCCGCCTTTAAGAACTTTGTAGATTTGCTGGGCCGCTGGTAGCTTAGATGTGAGATTATTCCTGAGGATTCTTGTTTTCTTTTTGTTTATTGCTTTGAAGTTTGTTGATTTGCCCTTAAAAGGCCATTGTGTTAACTAGCTATATGAATCATTTCTGGACGCTGCTGACCAGTAATAATAGGGGTTTTCCAGGCTGACAAAATCAGGTCACTGAAGACCTGAGTTAATGGATTTCACTGTTTTAATCCAGTTGGATCTCTGTTGTGTGGAAGTTCTGTTAGAAGTTTCTTTGAAGGGTGTGGCGTTTCCGCAAGGTTTTGGTCTGTTCCCAGGTGGTTACCAAATGACAGAGAGTTGTCTAATGGCAGCCCTGTCAGAGGTTTTGTCAGCTTTAAAGCATGTTTGCTTAGTAGGTGCTCCTTTCAATTCATATCTCACCTCTTTATCTTCATTTACTTGTTTATGTAAAAGACTAAGCAAACATCAAACAGGTTTGTCTTGATTTAGCTGGGGCTGACAAGTAGGACCCCTGGGGCTTAGGATGGGCTGGAGAGGGCAGAGAGTCTCCCCAGTGAACTTCAAGCAGATAGCTCAGGCAGGTGAGCCCAGCTTTGAAGACCTGTAAGTATTTTTAGTCCCACTACTGATTATCTGGTCCCACCTCAAGCATGACTAAAATTAGTCACAGGGGTAGTGTTCTTTTGAAAAAAACACTGATTTCTAATTTTCTTTTAGAGAACATACTTTTCTATTAAATTTCCTGAGGCTTGTTTGGTGACCCAGAATATGGTCCATCTTGGTAAGTGTTCTCTGAGCACTTGAGAAGATTGTGTATTCTGTGTATTGTTGAGTCAAGTGTTGAGTAACTTTCAATTCAGGCATGTTGGTTTGTGATGTTCGTCTTGTGTGTCCGTACTGATTTTTGGTGTTCTGTTCTTTCAGTTATTGAGAGAGGGACGTTGACACTCTGATTATAATTGTGGATTTGCGCATTTCCCCTTGTAGTTTTGTCAGTTTGTGTTTCACATGTTCTGAAGCTGTGTTGTTAATTGCATAATCCTTTATGAGTATTATACGTCCCTGTATGAATTGACTTTCTTTGTTGTATCGTATTAGTCTGTTCTGCATTACTATAAAGGAATACCTGAACCTGGATAATTTGTAAAGAAAAGAGATTCATTTGGCTCACAGTTCTGTAGCCTGTACAAGGAGCATAGCACCAGCATCTGCTTCTGGTGAGGATTCGGGAAGTTTTTACTCATAGCAGAAGGTGAAAGGGGAACAGGTGTGTCTCACAGTCAGAGCAGGAGCAAAACCAGAGAGGGAGCCAGAGAGATGCCGGGCTCTTTTAAGCCACCATCTCTCATGTGAACTAAGTGAGCAAGAACTCATTACTGCAGGGAGGGCACCAAGCCACCCGTGTGGGATCTGTCGTGTGACCTAAACATGTCTCACTAGGCCCCACCTCCAACATTGGGAATCACATTTTAACAGATTTGGAGGGGACAGATATCCAAACTATGTCATTTATTGTGAAATGACCCTTTTAGCCCCTGGAAATATTCTTTGCTCTGAAATCTACTTTGTCTGATATTAGTATAGCTAATCCAACTTTAAAAAATTTGTGTTAGGAATTGATGTCCAGAATATGCAAAGAACTTCTGCTACTCAACAACAAAAACCAGCCTGATTCAAAAATGAGTGAAGGGCTTGAATAGATATTTCTTCTAAGAAGATATNCTTCTTTTTTTTTTTTTTTTTTTTAGCTTTAGCAGTTTCTAGCATCTGCATAAAATGATGTATAAAATAGAGTCTCTGCCTGTCCTTAGAGAAGTTACTATCTGGGAGAGTGAAAGGTCAACTACAGAAAAGTGTAGAAAATGCTGAGAAAGGATTGAAGGAGGCCAGGCGCGCTGGCTCACGCATGTAATCCCAGCACTTTGGGAGGCCGAGGTGGGAGGATCACCTGAGCCTGGGAGTTCGAGATCAGCCTGACCAACATGGAGAAACCCCGTCTCTACTAAAAACACAAAAAATTAGCCAGGTGCGGTGGCTCACACCTGTAATCCTAGCTACTTGGGAGGCTGAGGCAGGAGAATCGCTTGAACCCGGGAGGTGGAGTTTGCGGTGAGCAGAGATCGTGCCATTGCACTCCAGCCTGGGCAACGAGAGCAAAACTCTGTCTAAAAAAAAAAAAAAGAAGAAAGGATTGCAGGGTGGGTTGTTTGAATAACGTACAAGGGGGGCACTTACCCAGTCTTAGGGTATAGGGGCTTTCCAGAAGTACAGTCTAAGAATTAAAGGGCACAAGTGACAGAAAACCCAAAACAACAGTGAAGGAGGTGGTTTATTTCCCTCTCACGCAGAGCCCAGAGGCAGGCATCCAGCGATGTCATGGCCCTTTATGGTATCAGGGCTCAGGTTCCTTCTATTTTGTTGTGCCACCAGTGTGGCCTCTATTCTTACGGTTGCCTCATGGTTCAAGATGACTACTCTTGCTCCAGCCATCATGTCCATGTTTCACCTTCCAACATGGTACCACTCAGTGAAGAGATTGCTGGATATAAACTCAAGCTAATCCATCAGTAGTGTTTCCTAATTATTTTCCTTCGGAAATGATACACAGGCAGAGTTAAAAATCACATAGCAGCTGGATGTGGTGGCTCGGGCCTGTAATCCCAGCACTTTGGGAGGCTGAGGTGGGCGGATCACCTGAGGTCAGGAGGTTGCAGTGAGCCATTGCATTCCAGCCTGGGTAACAAGAGTGAAACTTTGTCTAAAAATAAAAAATAAAAAAAAATCACATAGCACAAAAGGGCTTATGACAAAAAGTTAAGGTCATCTGTCTTGGTTCTCCCTACCCCTCAGAAGCAGTTTCAACCTAGCTTTCAGGCAGGTGCTGTCAATGGGAGTCATGACATTATGCACCAAGTGAAATGTTTGCAAAACCAACATGGCATCCCTCAGAGGAGTCACCAGTGTCTTAGAAGCGTCAGTAGTTGAGACTGCCTTCTTCATGGACCCCTTCTGTTTGAAGAAGGACTTTAGACAAATTAAGTTTGACAGTTTAATTGAGCAAATAATGATTTGTGAATCAGTCAGCCTCCAGAACCAGAATAGGTTCAGAGTGACTCTGAGGCTGCCACGTGGTCAGATAACATTTACGGATAGAAAAAGAAAAGTAGGTTGGGCATGGTGGCTCATGAGTGTCATCCCAGCGCTTTAGGAGGCCGAGGCTGGAGGATTGCTTGAGCCCAGGAGTTGCAGACCAGCCTGGGCAACACAGTGAATCCCTATTTCTATTTAAAAAATAATGATCATTACATTTTAAAAATAAGAAAAGAAAAAGGAAAGTGATATCCAGAAAAAGAAGTGAGGTACAGAAACAGTTGGACTAGTTATGTAAATGCAGAACCAGCCCCATCTGGTTCAACTTTGTGTAATAATAAGATGGTGAGTTGTTTTTCAGTTGCCATGATCCCAGGTTGCAAATTATGTAACCTGAGCATGCCCAGGCAAATCAAGCGTGCAGCCACAGGCGGAACCTAAATGCTCAGACCAAAGAATGGGGACAGAATGAAGAAGTAGATACATGGCATAATTCATGATCTAACCAGATTGAGCCATGGCATCATCCCATGGCAAGATCTAGTCAGGTCATTGCTCATTGCAAGATTCAATCAGATCACGGCTCATTACCCTCTGCCCACAACACCTGCCACAGCCCTGGCTTGGGGAGAAAGATTTGAGCATTTCTCCTTGCCAGCTGACTTGCAACAAACCTTTCCCTCTACAAAAACCTGATACTTCTGTTTGGCTTTCTGAGGGCCAAGGGATCCAGTTTGGTTCCGTAACAATGACAGATGGACATTTGCCTTTTTGGAACAAGATTTGAACAGTTGTCTGCTTGTGATTGGCTGAAACTCTGTGATCCGTATGAGTAGGTTCTCTTTCACTGTGTATGGAGAAACCTTTAGGCCAAACTTAAAATGCCAGGAGACAGCTTTAGGCTAAACTTAAAAATTCTCCCCTTTTGGTCAACTTCTTTATTTTGAGAGGTTGGAAACTTTAAACATTGACATCAGTTACCATTGTAAATAGACTTATTTGGTCTAAAATCCCCCTGGGAAATAGCAGAGCAGTGGGTTTCATAGGTGGGAAAGGAAACAGAATAGAAAAAAAAACCCGATTGGTTAACAACCGGTCACTTCACGTTCCTTTTTTAAAGGGTTAGAGCAGAGGGGACTTCCTTATTATGCTGGAAGCTCCTGTTTCTAGGAGGGAAGGTAGGAGACGGGGGAATATCGGTAATTCTGTATTATGAATGGGCGGGGAAAGAGACTAGTAAATGAAAATGAATACGTGGTGGCCTTGGGGCTCCTCAGTCTGAGCTCAGACCATCTGGGGCTCCTCCTAGGTGCTGGAATTCCATCTGCTTCCGGCTCCTTTGGGGTCCCTCGGACCAGCCTCCCAAGGTCATGCAGTGACAGAGCGAATGCTCGCTGGCCATTCTGGAGGCCGTGGACACCCGCGCAGGCGCACTCGCTCAGAGCGGCCTGGTCTCCGCCCAGTGGGCGGGGTCTCCTCCCGGGGCCGGGGCGTGCGGCGCGCCCGCGCGCGAGGGGTCTCTTGGGCGCGCCCGTGGGTGTGGCCCGGGCGGCCGCTAGTGTCTGTGTGGCACGATGTCGTGGTAACTCAGAGGCGCGCCAGGCGGGGCGCCCAACCGGGTCGCGGGGCGAGCACGCCCGCCGCTGCGGCGTCGGGCGTTGCGGGGGGTGTCACATCCGGTGGGGGGCGGGCCTGGCGGACCCCGGAAGTGTGGGAGCGGCTGCGGTTTAACCCGCGGTGGCGGCGGCGGCGGCGGCGGCGGCAGCCCTGGCAGGTGAGCGGGGACTGGGGAGGGTCCCGGCTCTGCCGCAGGCAGGCGGGGCAGAGGGCGACGGTGGGGGAAGGCGCCGGCGGTGGCTCCCGGGGCGCCCCCGCCTGCCCACCTCACCCTGGCAGAGGCCGGTGATTGGGCACGGGGGGCGCGTGACTCGCGCCAGGGGCCGGCGCCCCTGCCCCTTGCGGTGGGAGGGAGGGAGAGCGCGAGGCGCCGCCCCGGCTCCACTGCAGGTCGCACCTCCAGCCCCGCCCCGCCCCTCACCGCCACCTTTCTTTTTCCACCTCCGTAGCCCCTCGCCCCATAAGTGAGCATCTGCGGTTACAATTCTGATGACATTACAGCCAGTTAGCCTATTGTATAGATGGGGAAGCTGAGGTCTAAGAGTAGGGTCTCACTTGCTAGAGGGCACGCGGGAGACGAGTGGCAGAGTGGGTGTTGGAGGGACTTTGGTCTTTGACTTCCTGGCTTGTGCCCTTTCCCCAGGGCATTGAGAGATGGGACTTTCAGCTTTGGCTTTGTTCAGGACTCAGACTTGGACCTCCCAGCATCATTGACCAGTTCTTACCCCGGGACCCTCTGGGTGCAAAGGGCAGCGGGCGTATACATAAACATTCTGTCCCTGTTTCCTCTCCATTTCCTCCTCAGCCAGTGAGGTGATTTCCCACTTTACCGTCGGGAGAAGGAGTCACCTGGAGCTGTTTTGTGAATTACTGGCAGAGTTAGCTATACAACTTGGGATTTTAGCCCCTGAGCTGAGGCAGTGCTTTCTCAGCTACACCTTGTCTGGGCTCACCTACGCTGGGAATGCCAGTCTTTAGCTCCAGAAACTTGCCAGACTAATTTCTCTTCGCTCCAGCAGTACCTCAGTTTCCCTGTTGCTACCTAAGGCCTTTTCCGCCCCCTTTATTGGCTCCAGGAGTCCCATTTCCTACTTATGCACCAAGATGCTGCCACCCGACTCTCAGTTCTGTGACTCTTGGCGTTAGAGGTGGAGGTGGTGGTGCCCGAGGAACTGGAGAAAGAAAGACTTTTACTTTGTTGTCCAAAGCTGCAGCCCTGCAGAGACCTGAACTCTGTAGTTCCAGGTGGGACTGGGGACTGTTGAAGTGAAAATACTAGACGCTGAAGTGAGTCTTTGTTCTTTGAGGTCATAGTGCCCAGAAAAGCCTTTTTCCTAGATTATCTCGGAAATTTGGTTCTGTGCCTTTGTAATTTCCATTAAGTAGAAGATTTTCATTGTGGACTTTCTGGGCAGTTTCTGGCCACTGTTTTGCAGGTAGCAATGGCTGTGATTTCTTTCTTTCTTCTTTTTTTTTTTTAACAGGTGTGATTTCTTGCTTGGCTTCCGTTTGTTGGGCACTGTTCTGGGGGTTTCTGAACATGCAATATTCTGCGAACATGTCCAAATAGGTGGTGATTCCATTTTATGGATGAAGCGAGTTGTAGAGATTTTAGGTAACCTGGCTAGTGTCACACAGCCAGTAAGTGGCCAAGTTGGTTTATTTATTTATTTTTTGAGACAGTGTTTCACTCTTTTGTCCAGGCTGGAGTGAAGTGGTGTGATCTCAGCTCACTGCAACCTCTGACCCCACCCCGGGTTCAAGTGATTCTCCTGCCTCCGCCTCCCAAGTAGCTGGGATTATAGGCACCTGCCACCACGCCTGGCTAATTTTTGTATTTTTTAGTAGGGACAGGTTTTCACCATGTTGGCTGGACTGGTCTCAAACTCCTGACTTCAGGTAATCCACCCACCTCGGCCTCCCAAAGTGCTAGGATTACAGACATGAGCCACAGTGTCCCGGACAAGGGATTTCTAACCCATCAGTCTCATTTCGAGGCTAATATGCTTTTAATCTGTGACCCTTTAGTTTCCCTAAGGTACTGGACCTTAAGAATCATTTCTGATGCTTGTTAAAAATACAGAGCTCCACCTCTGGAGATTCTTGTGCTGTTATCTGGAGGAGGGCCCAGAAATCTATTTTTAATAAATGCACTGGGTGATTCTTACTGTAAGGCGAGTTTGGGAAGCACCGCCGCCTTTAAGAACTTTGTAGATTTGCTGGGCCGCTGGTAGCTTAGATGTGAGATTATTCCTGAGGATTCTTGTTTTCTTTTTGTTTATTGCTTTGAAGTTTGTTGATTTGCCCTTAAAAGGCCATTGTGTTAACTAGCTATATGAATCATTTCTGGACGCTGCTGACCAGTAATAATAGGGGTTTTCCAGGCTGACAAAATCAGGTCACTGAAGACCTGAGTTAATGGATTTCACTGTTTTAATCCAGTTGGATCTCTGTTGTGTGGAAGTTCTGTTAGAAGTTTCTTTGAAGGGTGTGGCGTTTCCGCAAGGTTTTGGTCTGTTCCCAGGTGGTTACCAAATGACAGAGAGTTGTCTAATGGCAGCCCTGTCAGAGGTTTTGTCAGCTTTAAAGCATGTTTGCTTAGTAGGTGCTCCTTTCAATTCATATCTCACCTCTTTAACTTCATTTACTTGTTTATGTAAAAGACTAAGCAAACATCAAACAGGTTTGTCTTGATTTAGCTGGGGCTGACAAGTAGGACCCCTGGGGCTTAGGATGGGCTGGAGAGGGCAGAGAGTCTCCCCAGTGAACTTCAAGCAGATAGCTCAGGCAGGTGAGCCCAGCTTTGAAGACCTGTAAGTATTTTTAGTCCCACTACTGATTATCTGGTCCCACCTCAAGCATGACTAAAATTAGTCACAGGGGTAGTGTTCTTTTGAAAAAAACACTGATTTCTAATTTTCTTTTAGAGAACATACTTTTCTATTAAATTTCCTGAGGCTTGTTTGGTGACCCAGAATATGGTCCATCTTGGTAAGTGTTCTCTGAGCACTTGAGAAGATTGTGTATTCTGTGTATTGTTGAGTCAAGTGTTGAGTAACTTTCAATTCAGGCATGTTGGTTTGTGATGTTCGTCTTGTGTGTCCGTACTGATTTTTGGTGTTCTGTTCTTTCAGTTATTGAGAGAGGGACGTTGACACTCTGATTATAATTGTGGATTTGCGCATTTCCCCTTGTAGTTTTGTCAGTTTGTGTTTCACATGTTCTGAAGCTGTGTTGTTAATTGCATAATCCTTTATGAGTATTATACGTCCCTGTATGAATTGACTTTCTTTGTTGTATCGTATTAGTCTGTTCTGCATTACTATAAAGGAATACCTGAACCTGGATAATTTGTAAAGAAAAGAGATTCATTTGGCTCACAGTTCTGTAGCCTGTACAAGGAGCATAGCACCAGCATCTGCTTCTGGTGAGGATTCGGGAAGTTTTTACTCATAGCAGAAGGTGAAAGGGGAACAGGTGTGTCTCACAGTCAGAGCAGGAGCAAAACCAGAGAGGGAGCCAGAGAGATGCCGGGCTCTTTTAAGCCACCATCTCTCATGTGAACTAAGTGAGCAAGAACTCATTACTGCAGGGAGGGCACCAAGCCACCCGTGTGGGATCTGTCGTGTGACCTAAACATGTCTCACTAGGCCCCACCTCCAACATTGGGAATCACATTTTAACAGATTTGGAGGGGACAGATATCCAAACTATGTCATTTATTGTGAAATGACCCTTTTAGCCCCTGGAAATATTCTTTGCTCTGAAATCTACTTTGTCTGATATTAGTATAGCTAATCCAACTTTAAAAAATTTGTGTTAGGAATTGATGTCCAGAATATGCAAAGAACTTCTGCTACTCAACAACAAAAACCAGCCTGATTCAAAAATGAGTGAAGGGCTTGAATAGATATTTCTTCTAAGAAGATATACAAATGGCCAGTAAGCACATGAAAAGATTCTTAACGTCACTAGTCATTATGGAATGCAAATCAATACCCCAAGGAGCTACCACTTCACCCATTAGGATGGCTATTAAAAAAACAAAACAGTAAATAGTAAGTGTTGACAAGGATGTAGAAAAATGGAAACCCTTGTGCTTTTTTGGTGGGAATGTAAAATGGTGTAGCCAGTGGAAAATTGTATGGCAATTCCTCAAAAATTTAAACATAGAATTGCTGTATCATTTAGCAGTTCCACTCTTGAGTATATATGAAACGAAGTGAAAGCAGACACTTGAAGAAGTATTTGCATATTCATGTTCGTAGCAGTGTTATTTACAATAGCCAAAAAGTTGGGAGCCACGTTAAGTGTCCACTGACAGGTGAACGGATAAACAAAAGAAAAAAATCAGCGCCCGCCACCACACCCAGCTAATTTTTTTTTTTTTTTTTGTATTTTTGGTAGAGACAGGGTTTTACCATGTTGGCCAGGCTGGTCTCAAACTCCTGGCCTCAGGTGATCCGCCTGCCTTGGCCTCCCAAAGTGCTGGGATTACAGGCATGAAGTTTGATTCTTTAAAGGCTTGTTAGTTGGGATCAGAACAGCCTTAGGCCCGGGCCTGATTTTTCCTCACTATGGAGGCAATATTGTCTTTAGTACTTTACCGATGTCCCGTGAATGATGAGGTTTTTCCACTGTGGCTGGTGGGCATGCAGACTGTTTCTGTTTCCATTCGAGGTCCGAGGATTGTTGCCTTGGACTGGTACAGATCAGTACTAGCTGAGAACTGGTGGGGGACCCTCTGCAGGTTTCTGGGGTTCTCCGTGTGGCCCTTCTCTCTCTGGTACTCTGCTCTGTGAGCTCCGGCTACGCCGGCCTCCCTGGAGTTTGAGTTCCTCTTCTCCACTCCCTGTACGTTGGGCCTGGAGTCCCTCGAGGAGTCACTTGGAGCAGCTGTAGCACTCACTGTCAGGGATCATTATTCTCTGCTGTCTGATGTCCGGTGTTTACAAACTATCGTTCTGTGTGTTTTGTTGGCTTTGTCTGGCTTTTTAGTTTTTCTGAGGCAGGAGAGTGAATCTGTTGCCTCTTCCTCCACGTTAGCCGAAAGCAGAAGTCCCCGTCCGGTCAGCATTCCTTGGATACCTGGTGTCTTAGTCCGTTTTTTCATACTGCTATAATAAAAAGAACTGCCCAAGACTGGGTAACTAATAAGGAAAAGCGGTTTAATTGACTCACACTTCCACACGCTTGGGAGGCTTCAGGAAAGTTACAGCGTGGAAGGTGAAATGGGCACATCTTACATGGTGGCAGGTGAGAGAGCGTCTGTAGGAGAAACTGTCAAACGCTTATAAAACCACATATCTCATGAGACCTCATTCACTATCACCAGAGCAGCACGGGGGAAGCCGCCCCTGTGATCCAGTCACCTCATACCAGGTCCCTCCCTCCACTTGTGGGGATTACAGGGATTACAATTCAAGATGAGATTCAGGCGAGGACACAGAGTCACACCTTATCACCTTGTATGTGGCCAGTGTTGACCTAGGCACTGGGATGCAGAAACAAACACGACATGACATGAGCTGTGCTCTTGGGGAGCTCACAGTCTTGCTGGAGAAACATGCTCCTTCCTAAACAAAATGCTGCTTGCTGTGTACAGGGAAGGCAGGATGAACTCTTTGGGAGGAAGGAGCAAGGAAAGTGTTAGAGAGTTGCTGACTTTCGAGGGATGGAGCAGGCATTTTCTAGATGGGGAAGTGTAGGAAAGAGTATTCCAGGCAGAGTGGAGAGTAAGAGCAAAGGCAGGGCTGTCTGTGCTGTGCGCTCCTTATAGGCCAGGGTCCCTGTCGTATTGATCTTGAGATCAACATATGTTAAGTGACTGGAAGTGTGGTTTTTGTTCTGGGACAGGTAGGTAGAACAGAAAGAGATGGGATGGAGTGAGCTACCTGTGGAGAAATAGAGGCTCGGGGTCAGCTGATACAGGGCATTGTATACCAAGCCAAGGAGCCTGAGACTTTGAACATAATACTAAAGTGCAGGGGAGCCATGGGAGGACCGTGGGAGCTCTGACTGCTCTCTCGAGGTTACTGGGGTGTGCAGAAAAGAGGGCTGGAGAGGGCCGGGCTGGCGCAGGGCAGACATTCTGTGCAAGGGTGAAAGTGAGCCCAGAGCTCAGTGCCATCATGGATCCGGCATTGCCACCCTCTGATAACGGCCTTCATGGATTCCTGCCTGAGTCAAGAATAGATTTGAGGAGGGCCTGGCTTGGTTTCTCTTTTTCTGTGACCCGTCTGCTTGTTGATGATTCCTCTGGACCCGGAAGTTCTGGGTCAGGCTTGTCACTGGCAGGAGTAGGGGCTGTAGCTGCCTCACCTTATGTCAGCCTAGGATGGCCAAACCTTGGTGAGAACCGCGGTCTCATCATCTTGGGCTTTGAACAGACACAGCTCATGTGATCGGTGCACACTCCTGGATGTTCGTCTTGAGTGTGTCTTTGCCTTGACCTCCCTCTTGATCCCTTCTTAAGGGACCAGTTGGATCCAATTGCTCAGCTTGCTCTGTGCAGATTAGAAGTAGGCTGGGGGAGGAGGGACAGCTGCAGATTGAAATCTTTTCCGAGTCATCTGAACAGTAGGGACAAAGGAGATACAAGTGGAATTTGGCGTGAAGTCAGTATGTGTTTCTTTTCAAGTGAGTCATGGGCCAAAGAAGGAAGAGGCCTTGCCAGATGGCTGGGCTTGACTGTCAGGAGGTTTCAGAAACCAGATACTTACTAAATCATCTGCTCCTTGGCCATCATTTTGATTGACGCTGAATGCTGCTGATCTGATTACAGATTGTTGATTCAGCCATTGGAGTTATGTTTCTGTGTTGACGGATGCCATCCCTGGAGGAATCTTAAATTCTGTGTCCTCAGAGTCCACACAGGAAGTGCAGGGTTGCAGAGGTAAGAATGGGCTGAGTGTCTGCGCTGTGCCATGATGATTGAAATCATGACAGTTTATTGATCCCTGCCTGAGAGCCAGACTTTAGACTTTCTAGGTATGAAACTCAGTTCGTCCTTAGAAAAGCTCCATCTTTTTTTATTTTTATTTTTTGAGTTGGAGTCTTGCTCTGTCTCCAGGCTGGAGTGCAGTGGCAGGATCTCGACTCACTGCAGCCTCCACCTCGCAGGTCCAAGCAGTCTCCTGCCTCAGGCTCCCAAGTAGCTAGGACTACAGGCATGCGCCACCACGCCCAGCTGATTTTTGTATTTTTGGTAGAGATGGGGTTTCACCATGTTGGCCAGGATGGTCTCGATCTCTTGACCTTGTGATCTGCCTACCTCAGCCTCCCATAGTGCTGGGATTACAGGTGTGAGCCACCACGCCCGGCCAAAAGCTGCATCTTATAGAAGACACCGAGGCATGGAGATCTGAAATTACCCACCCAGGTTCTCCCCAGCAAGTAAGCGAGAGTGCGGCTGTCTGTCTTACAGATTCAGAGCCTTTAATCCCTGGGTCTCCCCTGCAGAGCTGAGGTTCAAAGGAGGCACCGGTCCAGTGCTGCCGGAGCTCCTGGGTCTATACCCCTGTTTGGACCTTAGTCTGAGGGCTGGTGAAGGAGAGTAGTTACCACTCTAGTATTTGTTAGGATAACATTATGCTGGGTTCTGAACAAAATATAACAGGTCCTACTCTTGAGGGGTCTAGTTGAAGATGTCCCTACTAACCACCATTTGTTAAGTTAGTCCCCAGAGCCAGGCCTGGTGTTTGGTGGATGTGGACTTGATTGAGGCAGTCTAGCAAGCGCGGGCCCGTGAAGCTGTGCAGCCTCCATTGCAGGTCAGGCTCTGCACTTCCTCCCTGTGAGACTGTGGCAGGCACAGAAGTTCAGTTTCTCCTCTTTAAAATGAGGAAAGGCCGGGCGCAGAGGCTCACACCTGTAATGCCAGCACTCGGGGAGGCCAAAGTGGCCAGGAGATTGAGACCATCCTGGCTGACATAGTGAAACCCCATCTCTATTAAAAATACAAAAAATTAGCCAGACGTGGTGATGTGCGCCTGTAGTCCCGCTACTCGGGAGGCTGAGGCAGGAGAATCGCTTGAACCTCGGAGGCGGAATTTGCAGTGAGCTGAGATTGCACCACTGCACTCCAGCCTGGCGACAGAGCGAGACTCCGTCTCAAAAAAAAAAAAAAAAAAAATGAGGAAAGGCCGAGGTTGGATAGCAACACAGGCGCAGTGAGGATTACCTGAGTTGCTGCGCATAAAATGCCCGGGATAGCCTCTGAACTGTGAGCAGTCTCTAAACCTCAGACGCAGGGCCTGTCACAGTTCCTGACACTGATCGGACAGTGAGGCTCTGCAGGGCAACTGGGCAGGACACGGTAAGGTCTGGTTTGACGACCCCCCGCCCTGCGCTGCCGACGAGACATCATAGCTGAAAGGGAGTGGAGGAGGGGACAGGGCAGGGGCCGGTGAGGGTTGGGAGCAGCAGAGGTAAGGGGTTAGGGCAGTGGTCTTAGGGGCCAACTCTAGGTCAAGGGGGAACTGAGCTGTGAGAACAGGGCTCTCCCTGACCCCTTTGCCCATAGCATGTGCACTGTGAAGTATTCTGTGCAGTGGGGCTTGGATTAAATGTTCTGTTTGGAAAAAAAGAAAAAAATTCTTCTCCTTTTAAAAAGGTTGAAAGTGACAGGATTAGGCTAAACAGGGCAAATGGTCAGAGGAGGGGGGCGTCCTGTCTAGACTGGCTAGGCTATCCGTTCCCCCACCGCCCCCGCCCCACCACCCATTGACAGCTGGGAGATGAGGGAAGGAGCGGGGCAGTATGGCCAGCCTCAGGGAAGCAGTGTAATAGGACACATTCATCCAGGGACCCTGGTGGGATGTGAGAGAGAGACCCTGGAGGTGGGAAGACCAGGGATGGGTGCGTGTAAGAGCCTTGGGACCACTGACTAGCTAAAACCTGGTGATTGGACATCAGGGATTGGGGGACCCACATATCTGAGCTGACCTGGAGGCCTGGAAGTCAGGGCCAGGAGCTGAGGTCACTGATAGAAACGGAGACTGGGAGGAAAGCCTAGTTAGGGGGAGAAAAAAGGTTGAATTGTGAGAGGAGTGGCGATGGAGGAGTGCTGGAGTGCAGGTGTGTGGAGATTCGGCAGGTTTGGGAGGAGGTTCTTTAGGGGATGGGCGGGTCAGCAAGGCCAAGCCAACGCCTGGGAGACTCGGTGTGAGCGCTGGTCTCTGCAGCCTGCCCTGTGCTGATAGAACCTCCCAGCCAGTGGGGCGGCTTAATTTCCTGAAGTCTGCCACTCTGGTGCCTCCCACTCTTTGGCACAGTGATGGGCTCATTCTTCTTGAGTCTTCTCACTTAAGGGCCTTGCCTCTGGGCAAACGGGTCAGATGGAGTTTTTCAGTGGATGGAGGAGCATTCAGTTGTTATGTAAATATTTACATAAAGATGACAGTTTCCTTCATAAAGCAATTTCCTTATCATGAGAGATTGTACATTCCCCACACATATGCTTCTGTTTGAGGACTCGTCTAGATTGGTTTGGAGCTTGTTTCAGAAAGCCACACCTTTTGCTTCCCTCTGGGATCGGCTCTTTCAGAGTCCTCTGGGTCCAGACCCAGCTGGGTGCCTGGCACAGTTGATAGGCAGCATTTCGTAGCAGCCATGATGGTGTGGGAATTAAGACTGCCTGGTGCCTGCCAAGGGCCGGGCCTGCCGCCTGGTGGTCTTGTTTAATTCTCTTTTAATCCTTACAACCCCGAGATGTTGGGAGTATTAGCCCTATTTTACACATGAGAAACAAAAAAGAAAGGCTGAATGATTTGCCCAAGGTTACATAGCTAATGAAAGGTCAAGATGGGATTCAAATCTAGGAGTTTTTGCCTCCAAAGCCCCTTCACATCATCTTAACTATTTATCCCTAGTGGGTGGGAGGAATCTCCAATCCCAACCCAGCTCCAACCCCAGCAATTCCTTAGAAAGAGTGAAAACCAGCTGGGGGCGTGGCACAGGCCTGGACTCCCAGCTGTCTGGGAGGCTGAGGTGGATTGCTGGAGTCCAAGAATTTGAGGCATGAGGTGAGCTATTGTTGGGCCCCTGCACTCCAGCCTGGGCCACAGAGTGACGGGGTGAGACCTTCATCTCTTAAAAAAAAAAAAAGAAAACTAAAAACGCAAAAAAGGCCGGGCACGGTGGCTCACACCTGTAATCCCAGCACTTTGGGAGGCTGAGGCGGGCAGATCACGAGGTCAGGAGATTGAGACCATCCTGGCTAACATGATGAAACCCGTCTCTACTAAAAAATACAAAAAAAATTAGCCGGGCATGGTGGCATGTGCCTGTAGTCCCAGCTACTCGGGAGGCTGAGGCAGGAGAATCGCTTGAACCTGGGAGGCGGAGGTTGCAGTGAGCCGAGATCTCGCTACTGTACTGCAGCCTGGGCGACAGAGCAACACTCCATTTCAAAAAAAAAAAAAAAGAAAAAGAAAAAACTAAAAACGCCTCCCTCTTCATGACTTATACTGTTAACTTTTCCAGTTGTAGGGAAGGTCAGTTCAGTGCTGCTTTGGGTCAGGAGAGAAAGACTTGAGGATTTTTTTTTAACTTCCTGTGGGAAGTTGGGAAACAACAGCTTGATACTTGGATGCACAGCTGGAATCATTCCGGGAAAAGAAAACCAGATCAGGCTCACAAATATTTCCTCATTAAGCAGCGTGACTAGGAAGGTTTCTAAGGCAACAGCAGGTGTTTCTGACATACAAGGTAAGATGGGGCCAGTTCCTTTTTAACGCTTGCAGGTTGGACTTTGCAGGTTGCGCTGGCAACAGCAGCTTCTGATACCATAGATGGATGTGGGGAATGTGTAAGGAACCAAGGGATTTCGGGCCCGAGGTTGCTGGCAAGTAAGTGTTGTGTGGTAAGGTGAGGAGAGTGGTGGAGGCTGGAACCCACCTGCCCAATCTCAGCAGCCATTTCACTTGGCAGATCACACCCCAGGGTTTTCAGGAGTGACCCCATGTGGTGGAATAATTTATATTTGTTCAGTGCTAGGAATTTGCAAAGCTCTTTTGGGCTGTTCGCTTATCTGAGCCACATAGCAACCTCTGAGGTGGGATTATCATCATGGCCCCCCATTAAGGAAACCGAAGTTAAAGGACTTGATGAAGGTCGCACAGTTAAAGAGCTCTAGCGCTAAAGCACATCCTCAAGGCGTCTGTTTTCAAATTCCCTGTCTGCACAGGACAGAATTCTGTGCAGACACAGAGTTTGGGGGAAGAGTTGGCAGCCACTTAGATAGAGGCCAGGGGTAAGGGGCAGTGCAGATTGTCTCTGGGACTGGCATGCCACACTCTGATCTCACTGCCCTCACTGTCTAGAAAATGCTGCATTTTGCAGTCCAGCGTTACGTTTTTTTTTTTTTTGAAGGTTATCTTTGTAAAGGATCTCTGATCAGTGGAAACGATTTGTTTTTGAGCCGATTAGCTCATTGAGGAAAACCATCAGTGCGTGGCCTTTTTTCCCCTGATAAGAATAGATCTGGAAGGCTGCCCCAAGTTCGAACCCTCCCCAGAGTCCCCCTTCCTCCCCGCCTGCTAGGAAGTTCTGTGGCCTCCTGTACTGGGCACATGGCACTGTCTTTGGCGTAAATCCACTGGCCCTGTGCTATCTTTTACCGGATCGTGTACCCCGTGCTCAAGGCCTGTAGGATCGATTTAGTCAAAATATAAAGTAACGGAAAGAAATTGAGACCAAAGATCAAAGCAGCAGGTGCCAGGTGGCCGGTCCGTCTGCACCCAGAAATGCTGCTTCCTCGGTTCTTATGGCAAAGCTCCAGTGCGTTCAGCCTGTGCCCCCACCCCAGCCTCCTTTCAGTGCATTGTGGCAAACAGTGGGACTCCAGGATGCCTGTGGGATGTCTTTGTCACCTCTCCCCTCTTTCCCGCTCGC